TGGTACAATACCAATCTTACATGTTGTACGTGTGTTTATTGTTATTTGTATGTAGGACTATTTGTGAGCATGCAATTACGTTGGCGGTGCTATAAGATTATGTTAAATGGCATATATCATATTATGATCCTTTTCTTGTTACTATCTTGTGTTCATATGTACCTGTGCCAAGCTATTGTCTGTAGTTTGTGTATTACCCCACAAATGTTGTTGGTTTTTCTGTATGGTTTATTGTCCGTAAAAAAAATTCAATAATGCAAGGAATTTTATACTTTTGCGCGGTACACTTGCAGCTGCAGTGATTTTTAAATTTACTTGGACTTTTATTGTCCATAAGCGTGACTTTGTCCTTTATAAATATATTTTATTGAATAATATTTTTTATTTGTTATCAGAACAATAGTGCCACCAGCCTATACACGCTTGGTTATCCTATCAATTCATGGATATTTATATTTTCAACGCCAATCTTCTATACATTTATGAGCTCGATTGATTAAAAGATATTCAGTTTCATCCTGAATTTAAATCTTCTCTTATTTTTCGGTATCCCTTTTGGCGCAAATAAGCCACACACCTAAGAATTCTGTATAATTTAATTGTAAACTTTGGTATATCGTATTCAATATAAGGAAGTTGTTGTTAAAATATATAGCACAAGTTTTTAAATTCTTCGAAGAAAAAAATATTAAATAGAAATACTTTGTAAATAAAAATGAAAATGAAAATAATAATTGTACCAAAATAATAAGTATCTAAAGCTAGTTCACTTAATAATTGAAATATTCCAATTATTGCAACCATAGTATGGCTCTTTATAGAACAGATTACTAGTTCTACAAGTTTGAACGAATACAAAATGTCTACTGGTTAATATTTTACTGCAATTTAATCGATACGAAAGGTGTAAAGGATGCTCTAAATTAAATATGAAGAAAGATCTATAAAATCATTAATCTTATTAAATAGATCGATTTTAGAAATATAAGTTTATACCTATATGAAAATTAACAGTAACAATGTTCTCACTACTATTAACTTTTCTCATTTCATATTTTCAAAGTAGTTTATAGTATATATCAAAGTTTGTTATGAGATATTTTTTTTCTTCAATAATTTCCATCCAGCTCTGCATCAGGCTAGTATGCTGGTTCGTACACAGTATGCTTCCCTTCAGCAGAACAGAGTTGAGCCGTAGCACTCTGTCCCACTAGAAACTAGTGGCCTTCATATTTAGAATAATATATAATTTCATCTTAGATTTGCAAGAGGATATAATGTTTATTTCATTCTATTGGATTTAGATTGGATAAAAAAATATATTAACTCAGCCTATCACAACCATTTCTTCTTTTAAATATAAGATCTTATTTATAGGTCAACTTTGTGAGTAATAGGATGATAAAAATTTTTAACATTTGAAATTCATATTAGAAATAGTTTTGGGTTAAAAATATTGATAACATTTTTTAAGAGACATTATGGATTGCTGAGGAATCTAACTAATTAGAGATAAGATTGTAGCTGGCTGTGTATACTTCTTCATAATCGAATGTCTTCACATCACACATATGATAAATTGCGACATACAATTAGAAATTCATAGTAGTGCCAAGTATTAATGATAATACTTTTCTTCTATTAATATTTTTATCATGAATTGCGTGAAATTGATTCAAAGATTAGTACGTTGTGGACATGTCTATACAAGCAAATGGATTTAAATATAACCATCTCATAAAATTTATTTTCCGTAATTTTCATGATCTAGGAGTCCACACTTAAATTCTTTTTCTATGGACAATATTGTCGTGGAGCATTCACTGTGACAAGTCTTTGTCTTTCAGGCAATATGATATAACATATAGTATAGTACAGTATAGTATAGTATAGTATAACATAGTTTTCCTTGTTAATTCGATTATTTTTATTTTAGAGCAAGTAAGACCCAATCATGACATTACTTCAAAAACCAGTACCAAACCTAAATCGTTATTCATAGCTCTGTTTTTGGATGTTTTAATTTTCTTCATATCTGAACAAGTAAGATCCAATTAGCCTATTTACTCAAACACAATACCAAAAATTGCATTTATCATTGTGCATCAGTGAACGATTAACGATTTTCTTAATTTTTGAATTAACACTATCTAATCATGTCACAAAACCACCAATAACACTTAATATTGATTTTTTGGATACGGTGGAACGGTGGATGACAGATTGTCTTTGGGTTACTTTTACTCTAAATATAACAATTTCTTTATTAACAAAATGGACATTAGTGAGACTCAGAACCATCTGGCGTAGCACTTTATAAACCTGAACTGTCCAGACTAGATACGATCGCGAGCCAATACACGGCACTGTGCAGATTAGAGGGCCGCGAAAACAAGTACATACGTCCATGGTTTTTTTGGGTTATCCTAACAAAAAAATAATGTAATTTTACCAAAATATATTAAAGGACAGAGTAGAAACTTGGCGCGGGTCGCACACATATAGTCGCGGGATGCATATGACCTGTGGGATGTGTTTTGAACAGCCCAACTATAAACAATTGCTACTGAATATTTTTTCGATAGGTGGATATATAATTTAAAACCCTGTCCGGATGTGCGTCTTCGCATGATGTTTTGTTCTATTTAATAAAGAAATTGTGTTGGCCGCCAAATTATTTAACAGCTATTTGAGTGTCATTATATTGAATAAAGTGTTCTTTTAAAGAATACTCTAAATATACTTATTATAACTTATATGTTCATATGATTAGAATAGCCTAGTTTTCGTAAAAACTCTTGCTTTCTGCTCCAAACAGGTACATTTCCACCCAAATCCCCCGCAATATATACGCTGATAAATTTAAGAAAATCTATCTCTATTTCCATCTAAAATCTTTGAAACTTTTTTGCATCTTTCTTTCCATGCACAATCAATTGTTAAACTCCTCAGCTGTTATGCAATTATATTGTATCTTTGTGAGTCTGAAATCTGTGCATATGCCGGTGCATAGTATCTTTTTTTGGGGCGAAACAATACACGGAGAAACATAAACAATTGCGGTTGCATTACCCTATTTGAAAATTGAATATGAAAATCGAAAGGCAATGTCAGCAGCAGAAGTAGCAGCTTTCCAGGTATTGCAAACCCAATGCCATACAAATACCAATAAGATTTTTTTTATTTCTTAATAAAGGAGAACATTTAGGAAATAAATAAACGACTACGACGACAACGACACCAAAAAAATGAAGGAAACTATGTAAGGCAGTAGGCAAAAGTACGGTGCATTATTGTTATATTTTTTGCTTCAGATTTTTCTTGGATTATTTTTCAATTTGAAATGGTCTGTGCATTATGCCAAGTACGCAGATGCAAGTCAATATACGTAACTTCATAAATTTCCTCATGAAGTAGCAAATGTAATGACAAATACTGCATTGGCACGACTCACACCGATAATCCAGAGAAATCCAAAAAATCAGCAAAGCAAGAAGGAAAAAGAGGAATTGAAAAGAAAAATTAAAGAAAAACTTCTTTCTTCAGTTTGTTCTTCAGTTTGCCGTATGGCAAGAGTGAAGAAGCAATGCTTTGATTTGTAAAAGGAGTCGAAGTCATTGCAAGGGATGATGCCACCAGAGCAGCTGTCAAGCACTGCACTCTGCTGAAATGCCACCACTATCAACACCACCAACACCAGCAGTGCAAAACAATCTTTGCAATACAAAACGATCGAACACCCTAAAACTTCTACTACGTTACTGACTTGCTCAGATACTTTCAGTTATTTTATTCATTCGGATACTGGAGTTATTGCAATACTTGTACTTGGGCTAATCGAGAAGTACGCAAAAGATTGACGTGCAGTTGCTGTTAAACAAAAATTGTTGCAGATGTGAGTTCAGCGCAGGAAGCAGGCTGAGGTATGCAGCCTGACATTGTTCCGGATTTATTGCCCGGTGCACTGATTTCATTTGACTTTTCGTTTCATTTAGTTTTTTCCTTACATGATATAAATTCCCTAACTGTTCGTTAATGATTATACGTATTTGATTCAATGAGTTTTAAACGTTGAATATTTGTAAAAATAATGGCTTTTAGGATTTTAATGAAATTTTGGATATATATATAATACCCAACTATGCTAAGGGGATTGATAAATACCCGGCCTAAGTAATAAAAACGCTTTTTTTTAATAAATATTATATTTTATACTTCAATATAGTCCTCTTTTAGCTCGACACACCTAGTCCAATGATTTCTTAATATTTGGATACCTTTTAAATAATACGATTTATCAAGTCCTTCAAATATATCTCAGTTTCCCATTCCACTCACTTTATTTTATGCAAATCTCTTCCTCTGAAACCATCGTTTTAAGTTTAGAAATAGGTAACAATCACTTGGAGCCTAATCTTGAGAATACGTTGAATGACGAAGCAATCCGTACCGTATTTCATTTAATTTCATCATGATTTTCATTGACGTGTGAGCGGATCACTCTAAAACAAATTTTGTTTCTGCGATCCTTATGTGACATGTAACAGGAGTCTGATGTTATTGATTTTACTTTCTTCAAATATTCTATGAAAATTATTCCACTTGAATCCCAAAAGATCACAGACGGCGTTTGATTAGCAAATTATTTACAAATTTATTGTTTGAAAGATAAGATACGAAAGCTATCATTTGAACTTTACAAGAAAGATCGATTTTTACACAAATTTTTAATTGACTAATACCCGTAGTATTAGTAAAGAATATGGTAAGTTAAGAAGTCCTTGTGTAAGAACACAAATCTCATCCAATTGAAAATATTAAAAAAAAAAAGATTAGTATTTGTGTAGTTTTTTCATTTGCTTTATAATAATATTGCATCTTAGTCTAGTTCAACTTTTAATGCATAAAGACCTACCGTCCGAATTAAAGACCATTTTAAACTCACAAATTGAAAGCTTCAACTGAATAATTGGATATCTAACAAAAACAAACATCAAATATTTATAGCACTTGTTTCTAAATTTATTGCGTTGAATTCTTAAAAATACTAAAGTAATTTGATAACAGTCACATTTTGTCTACATTGATAAATAGTGGAATAAATATTATTCGAACGGGTCTGAAAATATCATATTTAGGAATAAGTAAGGTTTTCTGTTTAACATTTGAAGAAATTTTGTCACTAAAATAAGACAGTTCTGAACTGAAGTTCTTTAAAATTAAGTAATTAGTTTTCGATGGATTCGGATATGATAGCACCGATATCGAACGTCATACACTTAGCACAGCCCCACTTCACTGCTTCCGGAGAACATATGTGAATAGAAGCCGCAAACGCATTTTCACCAATTAATACATGCATTAGAGGTTTGAAGTCACGCTCAATAAAAGCAGTTTCCAATAGATCCTTAACTCCGCTACAGTTGTAAACAGTTAAGGTGATAGTTGTTTTCGGATTGCGTGTCAATATGGTTTTATTGCCGATGATGTACACCTCATTGACCTTCTCCCAAACTTTTCTACAAATAATATTAGAAATATATGTACATAAGAAAATATATCTTAACTTCATATGCATTAATAAAATAATTGTCTAAATAAATGTCAATATTAAAACAAGCAGAATATTAGAAAAAAGATATATAAACAACATTTTATATATTGAATGTATTTACTTCAGAATGCCATTTGAACGATCGGATAGGAGCATCTCCGCCAATATAACCATGAGATCATTGCGCTTATCAACATTATCGCGGAAACGAGGTTCCTGACCCCACAATAATCCCATCCATGGTCCAGTCAGCTCAAATACCTTACGCCAATGTAAGGGAGCAATATTGGAAGGCAGCATATTGACATTCTGAAAATGCTATGCAAGTAAAAAAGAAATATTTTTAATCAAATATTAATTAATTGACGTAATTTTATTTACCAATAACATATCTACCACAGTAATGGTGTAGAGGAAATTGCGGTTTGAGTCAGGATTTTTTCTGGTATTGACATAACCGTAAAAGTTGCTCAGAAATCGTGTAACATCAACGCCGGTTTTAAGCATGGGAAACATGCACAAATAGAAAAAATTTTCAAATCCAGTTCTATAAAACAACTCAGTCGCCAGAGTAACGATCTTTTTGATAACAAGAAATAAAAATCACACCAATGTTTAGTTAAATAATACTATACATACCTCCACAGAATCTTTTCGATATTTGTCCTTTGGCTTCTGAGATGATTCCTCAGATAATTTCTGAGATGATTTCATGCAACTATGACGTATATAATAATCGCCAATCTCCAATAGATGCTTTGATGTGGCACGGACATTTAATACATCTTTGCAGCTTAGATGATTGAATACTGACACAAATACTTCAGCTGGCAACTTGTAGATCGGTGGAGCTGTAGCCGGCAAAACAAGCTCGTTCTTCTTAATAATAGGTTCAGTTTCAGAACTGTCACATTCAATTTTAACAATTTTATCGTCCGCCATTTCTTCGAAATCACTAATAAATCTCAAAATTTTGAAAGTTAGCTAAGCGAATTCTGCTTAAAAAGTCGCGTATAGAAATGCCAATTTAAATCTACGGCTTTATTCGAAACATCAAATTTTGTTAACACTTTATAAATTTTATTGACTTCGAGTTGTTTTAACGCAAAACGACTGCAGAAATTTCATCTCACCAACTAACATAAAAAATATATGAAACGATCTAAAAATATACAAGAATTATTAAGAAAAAAATTTAATATGTTGAGGTATATAAAAAAAATTTAAATTTCAAAGCATACTTTGTTTTTAATTTTTATTTATCAAATTAGAGCTCTCTAAACCCACTTGCTGCGTTCTCAAATTTTTTACTAAACATACCATATTGATTACGATATAAGCATCTATTTCATTATCAAATTAACTGACAATCCTATCTTGCAATCTCTGTTATTCTATCCCTGGAAACACTACTATTTCAAATCGGTTAAATATTAACACTACTAATCAATAATACAAAATCCTTTGCTACAATTCTTCCAAAGAGATTTTCGTTGATAGATCCTAGCAATCTAATAGTCTTTGCGCTCACAGATTATGGTTTGTGCCGAGGTCTGGTCATCTCATTTGTTATCTCGTTTCATTTACTATTCCTATGTCCAGGAAATTAGCACAGAAACAACCGGTTTTCTTATATATTCCTAAAGCTAGGAGTTTTGTGTAAGACACGGAACTAGTTACAAATTTGTATAAAACGCTTACAACCTTTTCAACTTAGGGCATAAATAATTAATTATGATCACTAAAATTTAACATATTTTTCTTTCCATTTCAATTTTAACCGAATTTTATAATATGATTTATAATACACACAAATTCAGGTTAAGTTAGGTTATACCGACAATCCCTAGTGGATCCAATAAAATGATATTGAGTGTAAAGTCTTGTAATTGAACAAGATTCTTAAGAAAGGAGGCTCCAATGGGCAAAAACATAATAGATGAGAGGCACTTTCATGGTCTTCTCCACAGCTGCGACAGGTTTGATTGAAAGGTAGACCTAATCTTCTAGCATGATTGTCTAGTTTATAGTAAACCTGTAAGTAAATCTAACAAAAGATAGATATCTCCACGGGGATATCTCAAATTTAACCGGCACGAATCTTATATTACTTGCGCTAGACACTGCTTTATATTAAATCCAAGAACTATATCTGGGCTTCAATCATTCGAAGAAAATTCATTTGGATTATCAAACAAAATCTTGCTTTATCAATTTATATTATATATTAGTGGTTCTAAATATCACAAGATCAGAAATAATGAAAACAGAAAGTAGATAGCAAACATTGGTATACTATCCATTTGCATTACTGAAAAGAACTGTATTAAATGTTTGTAATATATGCATTGAAATTAGATTGACATAACAGACTGATGCCATGTCCATTAAGGTTTTATTATTAAATGATTCTTTCTCGATATCTTAGAATAAATAGAATACTATAGCAAACTAATGAAACGCATGTATGTGCTTATCGTGGAATATTCAAAAATGTGGAAACTCTAGAATATTATAAAGACTCACAAAACTCAAATTAAACATTAATAACTTAATAAAAATAAATTTCTTAAGTCTAAGCATGAGTATAGATAATAAGAAAATTAAATATAGGTATAATATCTTGATCTAGAATAAACTAGCTAAGATCAATTCTTGTTAGAGGCATTCTATTGCAACAAGGATGAGATCCGATTCATTAACGAAGACAATATATAGTCGAAATATTGGGGTAAATAAATAACTTTTTAAGAACTAATATTTTGGAAAAAGGTATTATTTAACAATTGACCAATTAGCTCATTTAAATTTTAATTAATAAAAATTTTGATAATTAAAACAATAAATTATTAAGTAAAATAAAAAATTGAAATTAAATTTATTTAATCTTGAAATAACTATTAAGTTTAAATTATTTTTAATATTCGATTTATTTATATATTTTTTATGTAGAATTAGAATAAATAAAATATATATATATAGAATATATATAAGCAAGGACTTGTATTCCTTACTCAGATAAATTAAGAGATATATATGTATACGTCATGTATACTGTTTTAATCTTCTTTTATATCAATGACAAACCCTACCTTTTGTTTATTAATTGTTAGTTGGACTTCATATTATTTTATTTGCACTGCCTTTAATATTAAAAATAATTTTAAATTAAAAGTGCATTTTAAGTGTAAGTGAAGCGTTGGTAAAGTCATATATTAGTATGCAAATACATATATATGAATTTATATTTATATATGTATATAAATTCAATAGGTAAACAAGAAGTCGTACTTATTTATTTAAATTATAAATAATGTGAACGAGCTATCCATAAAGACTTCTTCTTTCTTCAATTTCTTATCTACCCCACAACATCAGGAGACAAACCCGTAAAACGCATTAGCAACTGCGCTTTGCAGTTACTCGATTGCGTTATAACCGCGCTACACTCCGAATGCAAACACTTTCGGTACACTAAAATAAGAAGTTACTAAAGATCACTGAGATTACTTAATATGACAGTTGTTTAAAAGATATACATATAAGATTGCCATTACTTATATTACTTATAAACATAAGTAATACGTTAAAAGGTGTATTATATATGCATAAAGGTTGAACTCAGTATGCACGATCATGCGTAGTATTGATCGTTTCGTAGAAATACCAATATTAGTGTCCTAACAGACAGAGAATTGAAGAGAGTACACACTAGATTCATCATTGCCATAAGTTGATTTAGTATGTGAAAGAGTTTTTATGTGTTAGAAGGACCTGTGAAATAGTTCTTTGAATAATTTTAAACTGTAATGTTTTAGAAAAAAAATGTAGTTAACTTCTAAGTAATTAAACTATTCCATAGGCATCATCTATTCCAATGAAGAACTTATCTTTGATAATCGTTACGCGCGAAATTTTTTTTGCACTACTTTCAACGGAATAGATATAGCTCAAGCCTATTCCATCGTAAATTATCTCAGCGCTAATTTCAAGACTCTGGCATTAAAATCGTTTCTAGGACTTATTCAAGAGTTTAGTAATGCAGATATATTCTTATAAGCAATAAAACATGATAATTATGAGCTACAAATTTAAAAAGTGCAGATGCCTAACAAGCAAATATGCAAATGAAGTCTCAGTAATTTATTATAATTGATACTGATATCGACCTGAGTTATATTTGTTTGTAAACTTCATGTCTTCATGACCGATTGTGCGGAACTGCAAGCCGTCTCGATAATATTGTTTTCTTGTACATTTTTCTTTTCAAACATAATATGTACATTTTAATCTCTGACGTGCATACTGCCATACTACACTATATTGAGATATCGGAACACTTGGTTATTAACATAACATAATCAATTCACTTACTCACACCGACCAGTCGATTGCAAGCAAAGCCAAGCAGGCTCGGGGTCTACATACATAGACCCGCGTAGACAAAAGGTTAAACAGTATTAAAAAGCGCACTTTGTATTTTAATTTACGAGTACTCATTCTCGCAGTCGTACTACCACAATTGATGCAACGTACCACACACACCTGGTTGCAAATGGGGCAACCTCAACATAATCAAGTGAACTACGCAGCGTAAAACGGTTCCGAACCAAACAATCGCCAAGGAATCATAAAAAAATCATATTAAATAATAAGTGAAATACGAGCAAACACAGGGAGGAGGGCTTATGTGCATGAAAAAGTCGGCTCAAAACCAAAACATAATTTCTGAACGCAATGTGGGAAACGGAAACAATGAGACTGATTGTCGTCAACTGATATGAATGGGATTTTTCAATATTTATATTATTATCAGCAATATCTCCACATTAATTTCATTTGTATAGTATATCGACTTGCATGAATTTCATGAGTTTGTGCATACAACCTTAAAATTTTGGTAGTAATTATTGGATAACAATCGCCCAAATCGATTTCAAAATATTTAAATACGTATTAAAACTAAATCGTAAATGTTTAAAAGAAAAAAATATTAAAATTTTTCATGATTGATTGCAGTTCACACATTTTAATGAGAACTTCTCCATTATTTATAAGAAGTGCAAAAATCCCGCACCCAAACTGATAAAAAGTTTCTGTTTAGTTTTCTAAGCTCGAAAATCCTAAAGCTATGAAAAAATTTGCGTTTCTATGCTTGCTTACATCAATTTCTGAAACCTACTGATAGTGATTGGTCTCGAATCTACTAAGTCTGCTTAGACAGGATTTTAGGCTTAAAACGAAATCTATTAAATATGATTTCGAATGGAGGAAGAGTTATTTGGCAGGTGACCTAAAAAGTCAGAAATGTACAGTTGATTTCATTGTTTTTGCAGGTATTAGGTATTGGGTGTGAGAAATATTTCCAAAATTCAAACAAAACGCATATTTTTACTTAAAAATCTACTCAATCCTAATAAATCCGCCTTTCAGACTATATATAAATTTTGCGTCAAACAAAACAATTCAGTCAAAAATCCTGTCCATTTATTGAAGCATTATTATATATGCTTTAATAAAATGTGTTTCCAAAAGTCGCTTTAAGCATTGCCATTTTTTTTCAAGGCTTTTAGAAAATGAACTGTTCGGATCACACTTGACATGATTGACATGATTGCCTTGCATTTGTATCGACTCGTCTAATTAACCACGTTGTACATATGCTCGCTAAAGATTCGGGTTTTCGCAATGGACAGGTCTTTCATTGCCAGAAACCTTTCGATAAAAAAAATATTGCATATAATATGGAGTCTAATTTCGTAGACATAATAATCTTGTTAACAATATATGTTAAGGTGTTCTTCTGTTAATACTGTAAAGAAGTAGGTGCATTTTTATTGACTAATTTATTGTCTCATTATCTTTCATATTTCAATGTCCACTTTAATGATGACAACTCTCCACATTTAAATGGAGAATGTTTTCCAAAATGTTAACTATTGATCTAATAACTCTGTGGGACTTTGCTTTTAAATAAAATAATATAACAAACCTTCTATTTTCGAGTAAATAAAAATACTAATTTAATACTTAGTAGAAACATGATCTAATTTCATTTTTTTTCACGTCCTATTAAATCACTCTGGAGTTGAATAGGATGAAGTTTTTTAACTACTAGTTAAGTATTTCCGATTATCTAATATGTCCATATAACACTTTTTAACTTCAGTTATGTAATATACGTAGAGATTTTGCAGTTAAACTTAGCTAAATGGAAGCAGTATCTAGTTGACCTTATCGAAAAAACCTATAGAAAAAAAACCTATAGGATCTCTTCTGTGTGACAGATCGCTAATGAAGTCGTTGAACGTCAGACAAAACACTACATACTTTTGCTTGAAAACACAATGTAAGTTGAAATATATAAATATATAGAACAATAAAAATCGAATAAGAGTTCTTATATATAAAGTAAAGAAAAAATATTAATATTATCGAAAAAAGGCTTTTTGAAGTTATATTAAAAATATTTATTATATTATATTATTTATATTTATTATATTTATTATTATTTATTTATAGTTTTTATATTTATACGTCAAACTATAAACTATGTAAAATTAAGTAAATATAAAAACCATAAGTCAGTATTATGTATTAACATAAGTTGAAAAAGGCTTCAAATAATATATAATAATATAATATAATTCAAATAATATAAAAAATGATATAGAGATTTTCTTGTCATAATTTTAAAATAATTTTTTTTCTTATTTCTTATTTTTAATACAAATAATTTTATTGGAGTTCTAGCATGGGTACTGTGAGAACCCTGTAACATATTTGATTTTATAACTATATTATTACTGACTTATACTTAAGCAAAGTTTGGAGACCACCAATTTTTCATAGCGAACAAGAAGGAATTCCTCCACTTAAGTGAGGAATATTATAAACTGTGACTGTGATGGTACTACATATATTACTATTTTTTTGTTGCTGTTACTCCAAGAAGTATTATTTTACCTTCGTTGCTATATATGAGGGTGTTATACTCCCCTAAACAGCAGTACACACCATCACAGTGCATAGTCTGGAGTACTATCATCAATAACCACACATTTAAAAGAGAAAACTACACGATTTCTTCATAGGCATGACAACAAACTCTATTTGAGAAAAACGTAAGTCTCAAAGTTAGAGCTTACAATATTTTAATTTTTTTGTTGGAATTGTATATTATTAAATACATATTATATATAATATATGCTCATAAAGACTTACCCAAAACTTTTGCTCAAAAATATTGTAAATTTATCCACTTAAATTTTTCACAGAAGTTTTTCACAGAAATTTTCTACACCAACATGTATATAAGAAATTTTTAATCTGATTTTTGTTAAGATTTAATATATAATGTTATCAAGTATTGACATGCCTACTAAGTAAATTGAAAAAAAAAATTCGAAAAGAGATTAAAATTTTACTATAAAAATTTTAATTCAAAAAATCAATTTATATAGCAACTTTATCCATCTTCATATCAACCAATTATTTAATTAATTAAAAAAATTTAAGTCTAACTATATATAACAGATCCAAAATTACGTGAGAAATTCCAAAACTGTCACTTTCATCTAAAAATTTCACGTGTCTTTATCTGCAGCAAGTCATCTGAATTTATATTCGGGTACTTGAGGTCTTATTTGATGTTACCTTAGGGGTTGTCTATAAAACCACTTTAGTAAGATATTAACTATTGCAGCGTCTTTTTATTTTATATAAAACTTCGTAGATATATATAAACTGTATTACCAACAAACCAAATATGTGAAATTTGTGTGTATGAAGCATTAAAATATTATAATATTTTAAATAAACTCCACACATCAACAGCCAGAATTAAAACTGCAATGAGAAAATAAGACCCACAAATCAATTTAAAACGTACATATCACCAGCTATAGTGAGTTGTCGGTCATATGACATCCAACGTTTTTTTAAAAACGTGCTATGAACGAACTGCATATAATAATTACATCACATCTTATTTATAAGAATAATCAGTTTTTTTTTAGTTCTTCTATACAAATGTATTTTATAACGTCAAATAAATAAATAATCTCACTTCAAGCTTTTTTCAGATTCACTTTAAGGTGCTGACATCATATAAGATCTCTACTGCATATATATTTAAAAATCGATCTCAATTTGTTAAGATCAACAACCAATAGATCTAAGCGTAAGTTATAACCATTCAAACCAACGGAACCCACATTAATCTCTATCTTATAAAGCAACCCAAAACCTTTTAACAATTTAACACAAAGTATTGAAGAAACCATTTTCAATGCCGTAGGTTTACTGAAAGTAAACTACATTTCATGTGTAAGCGCTTTCAGACTTATATTCACTTTATCTTAAGATCACAATAGATATTTATTTTGGGAATATGAAAGCAAGTATTTCAGGCTTCGGCTAACTCCAACAACTTTTAACTTCTCGAAACGTATTGCATTCTGGTAGAGGGCAGCCTATACGCATAAACTAATTATATCTATTGACAACAGCGAGACCACACAAATATTTATCAAAAGACGTATCGATTTTTGCGGTCATGTAATTAATATAGAAAATACAACTCGTATGTATAATATTTAATATATTTATTATTTATACTAATATGTAAAAGTAAATATTGTCAAATCGCTATATCATGGGGTTGGGGTTGGGGGTTGATCTTATAACTTAATTTTACACTAACAAGTGAATTTGGCTGAGATAAAAATTAACATAATACAGATAGTTCAATGTCATAACTATGGCTCATAAATTGATCATTTATTAATTAACTTTTCCAAGAATAGAATATTTAAACAATAACTTTTACAACCAAATAACCAAATCAAATATAAAAGAAACTTACGGCTACGATTGTTTTCCAACCCACTGTTAGGTACAAAAAACTACCTTTTTATTACAAAAACCTAGCTAATTTTCTTACATCTCCAAATCCAACAAACAGCTATTTACAAAAACAATTCTAACACAATTCAGAAATATTTTTGAAAATTTGTTACAACATATAACTAAGTGTATTAGTTACTTTATATACTTCCGTAAATATCAGTAACATTAAGATATGTTGTGATTTATTTGATGAATGTATCCATACATCAATCAATATAAGTTCATTTTATCAATCCGATACCATTAACTAAAATTAAAATGGCATTAAGCATTAGAGCAGGCTTCTCTAATCGACTGCTCTGCTTGGTAGACCGATCCTTCTTATTATAACTATATGAAGGCTCTAAACAGATTTTTTAATTATTCCACGAATGGAATAATTCTCAACTGTTGATAGTTTTTAAAATATTCCAATGATGTAAGATACGTACAACATGCAAGAATGTAATCAAATTTCGATTAAAAATTAAAATTCTAAATTCAAGGAAATTATATTCTGTCTCTTGCCCAAATTATTCACGGATGGATACGAATCAATTGAACGAAATTGTTTATTACAAGCTAAGAACATTAACAACACTTTCACTCTCGTCAAAGAGTGATGAACTAAACAGATTTCATTAGAATTTAAACAAATTTGAGATACAAATACATGCCAAATACCACAACGAAATATTAAATCATGAAAGAGCAGCCACCGCATTCCAAAGAAATCATATCCAGCAAAATAAAATAAATGATTATTAACTGCCCAAAACATCAACGTTGCAATCAATAATATATGTTTTAAGGGAACTAACCAAATCAAATCTCTTGATATCGCCACAAATCAAATTCAAACAAATCAAATACCAAATTAAACAAACGAAAACAAGACACGGTCGAACGTTGCTGAATGCTGAAACATTGATGAAGAATTGCTGGACATGAGACAGCAATGGAGAGTCATGAATGCCATGAATGGACACTACCATTCAGTCATTATTTGAGAATAATGTGCAGCACTCGAACAAAAGACACGACCATTGCAACAACAATGGAGATGGCGCTTGCGATTAACGTGGAACACTGGACACACGCATTGCTGCTCTACCCGCTGGTTTACACGTAGTGCCACGTGTGTGTGTCCAGTTGATGCCAACGACTTCACTTTTCATTTCATTTTTCAGCTTGACACCTTGTAATCATGTTCGCTTTCAATCTAAATTTCGATTTTGATACCTTCGATCCACACCATGCCACGCTGTCATTTTCCTTAGCACATCAATAATTGCTTTACACCTTCGAACAGATAACATCGCATCTGGACAAAATAACCCTCGTGTGGGGCATATAAATATTCTTTATACGTAATTATTATATGGATGACATATATGTCATACTAAACGCTGACGAAGGGTGCGGTGAATGCGTTAGTAATTTTCTTTTATGTATTATTAATTTGCATTTCAACATTTAATCAAACTTCAGAATTTTGACAAGCTCATCAACGCAATGTTGGTATTATGCTAGGCTTACGGCATGTAATACGAGTAACAATAGCCCAATAATTTAAAATGATGAATGGACAAAAAGATACTATAAAATTATATGATAACCTATCACTGTTGTAATAACAATTCTGTCATGCTTTAAGCTTACTTTTTTCACTTTCTCTCTTTGTCTCATTCTCTCTTACAGAGTTTACTTAAATGAAATCTTTACATCCATATTTTTGGATTCTTATATCCATATGAATAATCTCCATAATAAAACGATTAAACTATTAAAAGCTTACTTTTTTTCCCTTTCTCTCTCTTTCTCACTCTCTCTTACAGAGCCTATTTCAATAAAATCCTTATATCCATAATTTTGGATTCTGATATCCATAAGCATAATCTTCATAATTGAACTATTAAATTTTGTAAATATTAAATTAAGTATGTAAAAATTTAAAAAATATATATATGCAACAATAATAATATATATAATATCATTATAATATAATTTATACATACTTTTATATATACAACACATATAAAAGTTTTTAATTAAGACAAGGAAACTCTCACTCTTTGCTTAAGTCCATTTAAATCATTTACATTTAAATAAAAATGATTTAGAGTTAGATTATATTATATACTATAATTTTTTCTTTAATAATTAGCGACGCTGCTTTAAGCTTACTTTTTTCACTTTCTCTCTTTGTCTCATTCTCTCTTACAGAGTTTACTTAAATGAAATCTTTACATCCATATTTTTGGATTCTTATATCCATATGAATAATCTCCATAATAAAACGATTAAACTATTAAAAGCTTACTGTTTTTCCCTTTCTCTCTCTTTCTCACTCTCTCTTACAGAGCCTATTTCAATAAAATCCTTATATCCATAATTTTGGATTCTGATATCCATAAGCATAATCTTCATAATTGAACTATTAAATTTTGTAAATATTAAATTAAGTATGTAAAAATTTAAAAAATATATATATGCAACAATAATAATATATATAATATCATTATAATATAATTTATACATACTTTTATATATACAACACATATAAAAGTTTTTAATTAAGACAAGGAAACTCTCACTCTTTGCTTAAGTCCATTTAAATCATTTACATTTAAATAAAAATGATTTAGAGTTAGATTATATTATATACTATAATTTTTTCTTTAATAATTAGCGACGCTGAATTGGTTAACTTCTTATATTCTCTCTACTGTACTACATATAGTATCTATACTATCTAATACGACAGAATTTATCGGTTATATGGCGAACCAAATAAAATGACAGATATTAAAATAGCTCGATTTCCATGTACGAAACATTATATATTCAGGGCTGATAAAGAAAATATGTAACAAAAAATGTTAAAAACGTAACCCTGCTAATTTCAAAAGCCCAAAAAGATCGTGAACAAAATAAATAAATAATGCATACAAAATTGCTAACAGTTAGTAATGTGAAAATAAAATGGGAGGATAAAGTAAAATACTTCGGTCTAATATTAGAATATAGGAGTCAAGAACCAGGCCTGTAATATAATTCTTTAAGCTCTAAAACCACTTGCAAATCGAAAGTTAGTGTGCAAAATAAATTTCTGTTTTATAAGCAAATAATAAGACCTAAACTACTTTACGACTATTATGTTATAGTATTACTTATGGCAATACTGCTCCATCCACCATCATCAACTTCAAAGGTATTAGAATATTGTTTTGAGTCATATGCTAAGAGCTTTATGGTACATAAGAAATGAAGATATAAAGAATTACTTGAGAGCCGAGAGTGTACGAAAGTATATGAGAGACAGAACACTAAATTTATTTGATTCTGTTGCTATGCACATTAAATTAGACTTTCATTCTCCCAAATCAAATGCAATATATATTCCATCTGAAAAATATAGTTCGCTTCCTAGTAT